AGCACACTACAGGAATATGCATTGTAATCTAGTATTGGGTTGTTTGGAAAGTAATTTCGTTTTTTTCCCCATGGAAAAAAAACAATATTTTTATAATANACTGCCATCAAGTATACAAATTGAGTAATATCATCAAACAGAAAAGGCCAGAATTAATCAACAAAACAGGTGTAGTGTTTTACCACGATAATGTCAAATTTCGTGTGAAATTTGACATTATCATGGTAAAACACTTTTTTGTATCGTGGTAAAACACAATTTGTATGGACCCGGAACAAGTAATAATCTGAGGGTGCCTGATCTTGCGAATATGGTTGCTGTGATAGCAGGTCCCATCTGAGTTATAACAGTTACAAGTTTGGTAACTCGTCAGAAACTGTTATAACTCAGATGGGACCTGCTATCACAGCAACCATATTCGCAAGATCAGGCACCCTCAGATTATTACTTGTTCCGGGTCCATACAAATTGTGTTTTACCACGATACAAAAAAGTGTTTTACCATGATAATGTCAAATTTCACACGAAATTTGACATTATCGTGGTAAAACAGTACACCTGTTTTGTTGATTAATTCTGGCCTTTTCTGTTTGATGATATTACTCAATTTGTATACTTGATGGCAGTACACTTTCGAATCAATTGTTAAATTGTGGTAAAAGCTCCAAAAAAAAAAAATTCCTTAAAATCTCACCAAAGAAAGCATCTCTCTTTAAAAACATGTGGAACCCATATATCAAGCTTTGAAACAAAACCAATTTGTTTCAAGTAATCATAAACAGTTTAATTTGACAAATTTAATCTCTAGTGATTTCACATGTTGTTGTTTGGCAGTTTGCTTCAATCAGTACCTTTATTTTGTTTTCATTGGTTTCAACTGGCCATCCAGAATGTGGTGCATCTTCAATATTGAAATTGCGAGAATGAAATTTTGTAAACTAGTTTTGGCACTGTCTTTCTCTCAACACATCTTCTCCATACATGTACCACAATTTTTTTCTTGCTTGAACAGCGTTTTGATTTTTTGGTAATAAAAAAGCAAAATATGCTGAAAATGATGCTTTTGATCTTCCATATTTGATGGGACACAAAGAATAAACAATTGCACAAAATCAAACAAAATTTTTTACAAATAAGCCTTAAAATGCTAACTGTCAAAATATATAATGATAATACAGTTTAGAATAAAAAATGGCGGGAAAAATACAACTAATCCGTCTAGTGGTAAAAAACGAAATTACTTTCCGAACAACTCAATAGTACAGATTGATATTGGAAAGTCTGTCAACTAGAATTTGTTTTACTTATGCCATTCAGTTGATAGCAGAAACTTGCCAGAAAGTAACTTCAGTGACAATTTTCAATTGTTGGAATCAGTATTATGGAGTCAGAGTCACTGGAGTTGGATGTTTTAGGGTGGAGTCTGTCAGTAATATTCTTTTGATCTGGCAGCTTTGACCTCAAATCTTATTATTAGTAAAATGTAAACATAAGAAATACTTTTAAATTAGTATCTAAAGAAATTTTTTAGAAAATAGACACTTTGATAAATTTAGATATCAAAAAGCTATTTATCTATAAAAGCCATTTCACACCAAAATTTTATGCATATCATATGCATCATGCTGTATACTTTCAGAAAATAGTGTTTATTAATTTAATCGAATATATTCATATTGCCTAAAGAGCTGTACACTCTATATATTGTAGCCTGGACTCAGTACATTTTTGCTATTACCCAATCAAAAATTATGAAAAATCATAATATTTGCAGTATTTGACTGACTTTGTAATTGGAAAAAATGTATCTTTACCTTTATATTTTATTATTATTTTTTTGAGCAGTTTGTATACTATGTGAAAAAATTGAAACTAAGTAGCATATGAACCTCTCAAAAAAGCAAATGATTTTTTTCAATGTGTGAGTATATTGATTAGTTTTAGATATTGGCACAAGATATTCTTTTTTATTCTATTACCTTTTGAAGTCTTTTTCTCAAAATATAAGTGATGTCTAAAATTTCCTTACAAGCTACTTTAGCCAATAGATGCACAGTATATCTATGGGCTGACGTACTTGGTGCACATGATTACACAGTTTCCTAGTCAAAGAGTAAATTTGCAAGCAAGCAGTGATGACAATAGTCTTGATTTATTGAAGTGAGTAATGCTGCTTGCTTGGATAAATGGAGTTTACTAGCTGAGGTAATTACATTTAGTGAATTTAATAGCAATGAATAAATTTAAACATCGACAAAAAACCTTTAAAATGTAGCTTTTTATTAACTAATTGAACATTTTCGGCCATTTGAATGACCTATCTCAGGAATAAAAATTGAATGATTTCAATTTCTATAAAATGATGTTTGTTATTTTTTGTCAATGTTTGATTATTATTTAACTGCAGTTTGAGAAGAGTGTGAATAAATTCATCAGTGAGTGGCTATTAAATGTGCCCAATTGTCATTGTGTATTCAAACATTTGGTGATATTTGTCATGTTATACTACTTAATGTTTTCTGGAAATTTCAACTTATTCATCAACTTTTTAGGTTTCAACTCTTTTCAATCGTAGATATTCATTTTCTTTTATGAAGTCAAACAACATCCTGCATCTTTCGTAAACAAAACAAGCTTTGTTTTATTGGTTTGTGTGAGGTGATTTTATTCCCTTTTATCCATTGTTTAAATAATTAACTTTCTGTTCTAATTAACTTCTTTCTTCATTCTGCCTCTAATTCTCTATTAGTCATCTAACATAATCTTTATCTGCTTTGTCTGCTCCTAATGTGTCTCTGTATTATTAACTTTTTTGTCAATATTTTGTCAACATTTTCTACTTTCTTAGTACAAGGAAGTAGCAAATGTTGTTTGCAAAACAGTTCTTCAGTGAATGAACAAGATTATTTTTGAACTGCATAATATTAGGCTTCTAATGAAGAAGAAAGTTATGATAGTGTGCTCGAAGTGAATGATTTCAGTGAACAAAAGGAAATGTAGTGAGAATATGTCAGGAATAATATTTAAAACATTAAAATAACAACATTTTCCTGTATAACTTAAATTATTTTAAAAATGTTAATGATTTTATTGACTCAGAAGATATAGTGGGTGATCGGTTAAGAAACATAATCCATTCCAAGACTTTGTTTGCTATCCGAATTGTTCATTAACTGATTCTCGATTTTATCATAGGTTTTTATGGGAATTTAATTAATTCATTCTGGAAACTCCAAAAAAATAAAAAATATATACTTTCTTACTATGTTTATTTATATGTAATAATAAAAATACATATATACATAGTCTTGCATTTTTATTAGTCATGTTTTTTCCATTTGTGGGTTAAAGAATCTGTCTAATGTTGATTGCTTTTTTTTCTCTTTACGATTTTTCAGAAGTAATCAATAGCATTAATTAAATTATACCAAGGGCTAGAAGCAACTTTTGTAATAATTTCGTAATTAATAGCATTGTACTTGTAGAAATCCCCAAGCCTACTAATCTCAAACTGGTTTGGATGCCATTCTAAGACTGTTGTTCTGACATTTTCTTACTTCTTCAAAAGATGTTTAATAGCAGATATTGGCATTAATTCTCTTTTTCAGAAGAAAACATATCTCGCTGAGTTTCTTGGTGTTCTTCATTGAGAGTTCTTGGTATTGTTGTCAGATCCATTTCAGGTTCCATTATGAGCTTTTCAATTTCTTTATTTCTCAGATGCGATTTTTGTTACTCCTTAAGCTGCTTGGGTCTTCTTGATTATATTGAATCTTTCTTAGATAAGATTGAACTGTGGTCTACTGTAGACCTGTTCAAGCCATACTGCCCAGCAACAACAGACATTATCTTCCCACTCTCTACCTTTGCTATTATACTCACACCTTTTGAAAATAAAAACCAACACAAAACTTAACAAGTGTCCATAAGACAGTCTCGCGAATACTATAAAAAATTGTTTGTCAGAAAAATAAAAGGCTGGAATTACAAGGGAGAGTTTCAAAGTTTGGAGGAATACTATCTGATCAGTATATACTGGGTTGAGCATCGATGTCAACATCTCCCGCACTCCGAAAAGTTTTGAATTGTTGCTCGAAGACAAGGGAAGACCAATCGGTATTCATTATTTTACATCGCTTCTTCTGTGTTTGTTCTGTGAGGTGTTCATTGTCCGAACGTAAAAATCTTTCGCAAAAGTGTTTGTTATCCGATTTGTTCATAGTCCAAACTGTTTGTTAACCGGTCACCCGCTGTACTTCTAATATTTTTCTGTCAGAGAAAATGTCAGTTTAGTATTTTATTAAAATTAATTGTAATTAAATAATCATCAAAATTTTTGAATGGATTCATCGAAGTTTATGGCCAAGCTCCTTGATAGTCCGAGCCATTTTTCAAAATTTGAAATTTTTCGCGAGCCGCAATTAAATACGTATTAAAAGGTATGCAAAAAATTCCAGCATACAAATTATATCCATAGCAAGAGTGATACAAATTGTTTCCTCCAGAGCACAATGTCAAATGTCCGTTGCAATGACAGTTTACAAATTCAAAATCGGTCTGGAGTCCGTCGATAACGGACGATTATGCCACTGATTATGTTCGTTTGCACAGTTTTCGATGAGTCATATCATTCTTAACTTGGGCGAAAATGAAATTTGTTACAATGTTGCACTTAGTCTTTCATATTTGTTGTTAGTAATTTAAAAGACATTTTGAAACACATACGGAACGATAATAATTTTTAAAAATATAATAACACAAAAATTAAAAGGGAACTTGGGTACATCTATCGAGAGCCACAAATAATCCTTCAAAGAGCCGCATGTGGCTCGCGAGCCGCAGGTTGGCCACCCCTGATATATATTATTGTTTAATGATATTTTCTATGAAACAAATGATACATATAAATAATGCAGTAACTAGATATCAATGTAGAAGAAAAAATGAAAAAACTAAAACAAATGATACTCATTTATATATATATATTTTTTGTTTTATAGAACCAGAATTATTCAGAGGAAAATGATGGTCCTTCAGACAATAATCAAGAGAAGTTTCAAGATCATCACATTGAAGCTGGTCATTCTTGGAATAATTCTAATTCTTATCATAGCCATCCATTGGACACATTTACTGTTATTTTAGACTTGCTTCGCAATCATGGTATGGATATGATTTTTCTATTTTACTAAAACAGTGTGATTAAATAATTAGATACTTGAGTTAAGTTTTTTTAACCTTTCAATTTAATATTATTCAAAGCCTAGGTGTTGTGTAATTAATGAAGATATTTGAATTAAATTCAATTTACAGAAATAAATTTTTAATAAATTCTTGATTATACAGAATCTAAATGTATTTGATTATAAGAATTTGATACTGTAGTAAACATTTCTTGTCAACAGTACAATTGCTTTTACTATGCAATGGAACCCCCATTAATCTGGATCTCTGGTTTATTTGGAATAAGAAAGGTAGACATACAGAAAACCTATACAGTGGAACTCCAGTTAACGAACGTCCTGGTTAACGACCAAATCGGTTAACGAACTTTTATTTTGTGAAATTTTTGTTTCGGATAACAAACGCAACGGTATTTTGTGTAAAATTTTAGTTGGTGTTAGATATGTGCGAATTAAGCATTGCTTTTCCAAGTGTTTGTGCTATACTTCTTTTTTCAGTTATGTGATTTATATATTTAATCAATATGGCATCCAAGAAAGAAAAAAGTCATAGTGGCAATAGAAAATGACAATGCAATATAAACGACAATGCGCTATCGCATTTGAGAAAAATTTTGAAAAGAGTAAGACAATAAACTTTAGATCAATTTCTTGTTCCTTACGGAAAGAGTTTGTTTGTTTGTTAAGTTATGGCAATGCAACACTTGGGCGATCTGCCTAGGGGGAATGCATTCTGGGAGGTGTTTTTAAGGGAAACTGGCCCCCTATTTAGGCATTACAGATGTGGAGAAAACCCGGAAAACTCCACGTAGCCAGCCTGTCTGAGCGAGGTGTGAACCCACGAACGAACTCCCCGTGTTCAAGGTACAAAGACAACTTTGCCACTGGTGGGTTTTTCACCTAAAGAGACTTTGACTCGAAGAATTTTCTGATGAAGTGCTACCCGTTATTTTTTTGGAGGGGATTTCCCTTCTAAGCATTAAGGTTCATATATCTCCACTTTTCTGCCACCAACTACAACAAACGAAGGTATGTACAGTGCTATTTTATTAAACAAAGTTTACATGTTTGTTGCAGTAATGATAGATACTATGTTTTCCTACATTTTCATCAAAGAAAATTACTGTATATTACAAATAAATCACAAAAATTTCAGAGACTAGAACGGATTAATTGCATTTGCATTAATTTCTATGGAAAAAATTGCTTTGGTTAACGAACGGAGTCATGGAAACGGATTAAGTTCGTTAACCGGGGTTCCACTGTATATGAAAAAAAATCAAAGAACCAACTTGTAAGTAGTACATTCTTGCCTGAGTATAATGTTGCAGCTATAAGAATACAGTTTTCCCTTGGTTCAATGTCAATTTTGAACATCCTTGACTTTATAACTGAGATCTGGTAACAAAAATAAATACAGCATAGTTTATTTATTTATTTTGGCTCAAATTAGTTCTTTGTTTCCCTAGGGAGTACTAACCCTAATTACTGGTTGACCTTGATAAAGGTTGTAAAGAGAAGTACCCCCCACAAATGGTCAGGAAACTTATGTACATGTACTATACCAACTGATAGAAAACAACAAACTGATACTGTATATAGATGTATCTTTTGCTTTATACTGTTAATATTGTTATAAAAGTATATATAATGTGCAATAAATAAAATATAATGTACATCTAAACTGTGTTATTTATGTTGTTAATGAATTTTCTGGATTATTTGGAATTTTGGTCATCTGGTGGGCCTGGTCCCATTCCCATTTGAGCCAGATAAATGGGGTTCCACTATATTGCTGTATTATAATAACTATTTAATTTAATAAATAATTTTTATAAATTAAAATTTGCTTATTAACAACTTTATTCTGCTTTAATATTTTGTTACTAACGGACGATTACGCCACTGTTTATGTTCGTTCGCACAGTTTTCGATGAGTCATATCATTCTTAACTTGGACGGAAATGAAATTTGTTGAAATATATTATAATTTTTTCTCTGATTAATTAGCTATTTAAATATAAGTAAATAAGTTTATTTGAAAATATTTGTTAGTATAGATTATCTAAACTAGTGATGAGCAACCTTTTCTGGATGTGGGCCATAAGTGAACTTCATAGGATTCTGGAGGGTTGTATGCATTTTTCTTATGGAATTGCAGCTTTAAGCCTGCCAAGGATCAACAAACTCCATAACTGCCAGTATATTAGATACTAAAATAGTATTTGCTGAACCTTACGGGTCACATGGGCCTTGTAGGCCTGCAGGTTGCTTATGACTAGTCCAGGGATGGTGAACTTATGGTATGCGTGCCCAAAGTGGCACTATAGAGAAATCATCTGGTACGTAACGTATCATACGATTTTGATTGATTATCTGTCTTTTTCAATCACCCTTTTCTCTACATTTATTCTAATTAAAGCATATTCGTTTAATTTCTTTAAATATTGTTATTCAAAGTTTAAAACTTTGGCATGCATAAATATCTTTAAAGCTAAGTGTACTTACTATATGGCATGCAGGTTCAGAAAGGTTAGCCACTCCTGGACTAGTCTAAACTACAGTGGTACCTTGTACTTTGAATTTAATTCCTTCCATGAGGCTGTTTGAGCTTGGAATCAAGTTTTCCCATTAAAAATAATGGAAAATGAATTAATCCATTTTTTAAACCTTAAACAATCCCCTTTTCAATAAACTTAAAACAGCAAATAAACATAATTTAAGGTAAAAATACAATTAAATATTCTAATAATAACATTTAATTGTGGATGCCAGTTAGCACCCTGGCACTTTTTAACTTACGACTTTATCTGATTTTCAGGTAATTCATTCATGAGGAAATTTGCACTAAACTGTTCTTATGATAAATTTTACAAAAGATTTTTAAATTTAAGTAAGAGTCCTATAAATTTTTTGTGGGTTTATTAAGGAAAAAAAATACTAAAAAAAATAAAGGTTTACATAAATATTAGTCTGTTTGATTGATCATTTATTGTGGAAAAACTTTTTGTTAAATGCAAGATTTGTTAAGTGTTATTTTAAAGAAGTTAAACACAGAACATCTTCATAACACAAGTTGACTAATTATACCAACATTATTATTACTTAGCCAACAGATATTTTTTGTTAGTTTATTTGACAATGTGAACAAATTTTCAAAGTGGCATTTTAAAAAACATTCACAAATCTGCAATTGTTGGAACTATAGTAAAATACATTTACAAAACAATTTTTATCTCTACTATATGTGAAGCATTTGAAAGATTATTGATTCTGTATTTGTAAGAACATATGTTTACTATACAATCAAGCTTTTAAACCATGATTTAAGAATCACAAAAAATAACCAAAATTAAGCAACTGCATCCACCTGTCTGTAACTGAATTTTATTTTGAATTTATGAATTTACCTAATGAAACAAAGCAGTTTTCCTTAAAATCAAGTTAATTCTTCTCTCGAGTTTCTGGTAAAATTTGAAAATGTAGTTAATTTAAAACAGCAAAGCTCTTCTAAATTCTATAAATGTAAAAAAAATTTATATGAAATTTTCAATTTTTTTATTATTTTAATGACAGGTTTAATATGCTGCATATTTCACAATTTTTTCAGTATTTTTGTTATCCTTTCCAATACAACCTAAAATAAATAAAAGAAAACATAAACTAATTGCTTTTTAAGAGAATAATTTTACCAGAATGAGAATGTTAGGGCTGCTTTTTATAACACACTATAAATTATAAAGTTTTTCCCAGACGAGAACAGTTGGCCATGAAAATGAATTTGTATACACAGTTACCATGGAGACAACCTTGATCATAATTGGATGTTTGGCTAAAGAAGTCATATTTATTTCAGAAGCTTATGTGATGATCCAAATTTTAACAAAGATCAATCGTCGATGTCGTCATATATGTTTAATAATTGTTGTCAACTACTACCTGAGAGAATCTTGACTTACACTTTCTCAACGGCAAAAGCGATGCATTTCCGTAACCTGCTGACCTCTTGGCTGGGCAATATCATGCTTATAGCATAATTAATGGCTGAAGGGTCAGTTGCTGTTTTAATCTCTACGACTCAAGAAGTCATTGCCCGTTCCTCCAAGAGTAAGTCATCACAAATTTCTCCAACTTGTAATCGTGTCAGTACCCCATCCTACCCAATTGGATATCTCACCTACATGCAACTTGAACATCGCCTACAAGTGTGCCTTCAAAGACGAACTATCAGTGATTTGGAACTTTCCCAACGATCCTAAATGAAATAACTTTAAGGGCTTGTCATCCTAGTCACAATGAAACCTCCACTCAATCCCCTAGGACACCCTCTATTCCAGGTATTTATCGACTTGCAAACTACTGTAAACTCTCTCTCTCTCGCAACCACTTTCGTTTAAAGATTCCTTGAAATTAAGGCTTAACGAACTGTAATGAAATTGTAAATTGTATTATGTTGTCTATGTAATTAAATCATTATTAGTTGTTAACGGAATATCTGAGTGATTCACTTCCGGTATGCTGTCTCTCAATCTGTCTCCATCCTGAATCTGATTGCCTGCGCACACAGCCGGTAATGTGACCTGTGTCAAATCCAAATCAACATCTCGGCTTCTCATCAAACGAGACATAGTAGTGTCAGTCCTGATGAGGCACTGAAGAGGTGCTGACCCTCCGGTCACACTTATATTTAAAAAAATTCTCATTTAAATTTGGCTCAGCATAAACCTGATTTTTGTTTTTGCGCAAAAACTAGAAATTTTGTTTAGATGTTTTCTAATAGTTTTTGGTCAAAGTGTAAAAAAACTTTTTTTAAAGCATGTCACATTTCTACAATACAGTAGAGTGTCGTTTATCTGAATCAATTGGGGACTGGGGTTGTTTGGATAACTTATTTTTCGGATAACCAATTATGTACAAAAAAATATATTAATTTATCCCGTGTTGAAATTTTTCTCCGTTGTGTGTCGCTTGGCGTTGAAT